TGGATCTCAAGGAAGGCCTGTTATAGACGCAAATGGGATGGCCTACTGAGACAGGGACAGGTGCATCCCAAATACGTAAAAACACAGAGCTGTGACCGTGACCAGAATCTGGAACGCTGTCTACGAGGCACCCCCAACACACACACACACACACACACACAGACACACACACCTGGGCATCCTAGGAAACTGATTCCTGTGGATCTCATATTGCGGCCAAATTTCCCGGCAGAGGCCATAAATGGGAGGCCTGTGCAGCGGATACGAGGCTGATCCACTGACATGTTTTGTGAGATTCACATGATTTTATTTAGAAATACTGAGTTAACTGCTGGCACTTGAAAGTCAGAAGATTCTCCATAAAACTATGAACTCACAGTCCATTTTGATAACAAGAAAATCTCATCTGGCAGGACCAGGTCTGAGATCCCTCTAGCAGCCCCAGGCTGGGTGTGAGCTAGGCGGCCCCGTAGGCCCATTCCGCACAGCCTGGTGCTCCTCCAGCTGCCGAAAGCATTTGAGCTGGCGACCCCTGCTGGGAAACGACCAAAAAGCATGCAACAGAGAGGGAAAAAAATGAAAGAAAAGATGCCCACTGGGATCTATTTCTGTTATGTTCAGGCTATTCCTTGGAAGAATAATGTATTCATTTTTCTAGGCCTCTCATGGTAGCACATAACTATTGACAAACTTTGGCCCAGTAAATATTATTCTAACAGCCTGAAAAAGCAATGGACTTAATTCCCTGCGGGCAGAGGAAGCTGAGAATGCTTTCTGCCGGAGGCTGGCCTGAAGATGAATAGCAAGGGCTGTGTGCACCAGCTGACGGCAATTCTGCTAACTTGAGAGAGAAGGAATTCATTGGGAGACTACTGGTTGCCTCTGGGACTCGGAGAGAAGCCAAGAAGCCAGGATTGGGATGAAAGGGAATGAAGGGAACCTCATGTCAGAGGGCGCATGAAGACACTGCCACCTTAATGGCCCCTCTGGGACCACACCTTGGGACATCAATGCTGCAGCTGACATTGCTGGTCCCATGATCCAAGGTGCAAAATAAACACTCACGTGCCCCTGTGTCTTTCAGCTGTCCTTCAAGACTCTTGGCCCAAGGTGGGATCACTCAGCTGAGCTCCGTGTTCAGAATCTGGAGTTGGACAAGGAGAAAGATCCCTAGCCTCCACCAGAAACATTCCTTGAAGAGAGGGAGATGCTCCCTAAATATGGATGCCGGGCATCTTCTAACCACTTAGGATTTTAAGTGGTGACGGAGGATCGAGGCACCACAGGCAGGGAGGAAGAGTGGGATGGGGATAGACCTGAATTCCAATCAGGAGTCTTTTGTACCCTTAAAAAATTGATTACATTTTCCAGTCTGCAGATCGCAAATCTTTATGACAGAAATGATGCCATCTGCTCTCCTGTGTTCATTCAATCCTTTTTCCAAGCATATTTACCAAACATCTACTAAGTGCCAGGCGCTGAGCTAGGTTCTGAGGACAAATCCACAACAATACCTACAGGAAGGCAACGAAGAGCCAGAACAGACCGGGGGTGGGGTGGGGACAGTTCTCAGGTATCTCAGGAAACCCGTCACTCACTCACACATCTGTGACTTCCTCCTGCGTTGAGGAAAGCAATGTCAAGGCCTTCCTTCCACAGATTTTCTTAAGAAATACGACACACAATACATTAAAGAAGAGAAAAAAAAAAAAAAACTCTAAAGATTAACTCTGATTCTGAAAACAAGAAGTCAGTAATTCTGAGGAGCAGTGAGGCCTGATGCTGGCACAATTCACCTGGAGTGACAACAAGAGACTGGTCCGTTACATGAAATCTTGCTCATTCAACATTTAGCACTGTACTTTACTCAGACATACACAAACAACAATTAAAATGAATGCTAAAGTAGACATAAAAGTTTAAAAATGCAAGGAAGGTAAATAACTGCTCAATTCCATGAATGTGTCATAATTGCCAAAAGCCATTTCCTATGCGGTATTTCACTTTCCCATAATAATGCTGCAACAGCTATTCTGCAAAGGAAGAATCTGAGGCTGGGGGGGGGGGGTGCTTTGCCTAAGGTCACGGGACCAGAAGCTGGCCTGCAATCCAGTTAGCACTCTCTGGCCCTTCCCTAAAGAGAAGGGCAACCTTAACAGAAAACGCCTGGAACACGCAGCCAGGCTGAGGGAAGTGGAGAGCATCAGGCTGATGAACCGGATAGGGGCAGGCAACACAACCCTGGTCTTTTCCAGCACCAGCCGGAAACTTCCTGCCTACCTCAGTGGTAACTGGAAAGTTACTGTGTTTCCCTGGGGGCAGCTAGGAAGTCGCTACTTTGCAGCCACAACTAGGTCTTACCCAGCCACTGACCTTGGCTTAGACGCAAGCCCAGGAACCTGCTGCCCAAGCATGCATGGGTCCAGGCTCTGTTCCCTCAGAAAACCCATAATTAGCCTGTCCCTCCCTGCAGACTCCAGCCTCCCCAGAGAAAACACAACTCAACAGTCACCGTGGTTGTGTGTGCCACGTCCGTAGATGCCACTGTCTCAGAAAGGCAATGCATGTGATCAGGCCACTGTCTCCAGGCAGTCCCTCCCGCTAGCCTTCCCCTAGTCACTGCCACATTTTATTTCCAGATGAGAAAAGCTTCCATGTGGCCTCCCTTCAAAGAGCTCCCAGGAATTTTCCAACAAGAATTCTTTTTTTTTTTTTTTTTTTTTTGCCAACAAAAGTACAAGTCCCAGATACGTTATGGAGTCCACCTAAAGCCAAACTCCGTCCTCAACAAGAGTTACTCAGGAACTCACCAGTGCCAGGCACTATTTTAGCTGGTGGCCTTGAGGGGTGGGGGATGGGCATACCAGCAAGAAGCCAGGGCCCTGGGTTTTTCCATATACCCATTTGCAAAGCCAAGGCAACACTTCCCCACTAGCTTCCTCCAGCCCAACCCATCTTCTTAAAACCACCTGCCTGGGGACCCTGCAGCTGCTCCGAGGACCTGATGCCCAGAGGCACAGTTTAACAGCCTCAGTGTGGGATCTTCATGGAATGTTGCTGGCGTAATTAACCACTTCAACTTAAGAGTGCTTAGTCATGAAATTGTCCATCCCTGTCAAACTCCACTGAAAGAGTAAGAGGAGCTAACTAAAGCCCAGAACAGCTCCTTCAGCTTTCCGTGCTGAGCGCTGGGGAAAACCTTACATAACACAACGGCCCATCTCAATATGTTATTTCTGCAACCCTGAGTAGTGGGGGGCTTCAAGCCCTGGAAGTACAAAGGGCAGGGTAATGGGAGGATGTGCAGAGGAGGCGTTCATCCCTTGAAAATTCACTAGGTCAGGCTTTTTCGGATTGCACCCAATGTTATGGGAAAGCAAAAAAGCCGGATTTCGAGTGTCAAAGGATGCGTTTTGAAGATGCTGGGAAGTACAAGATAGCTCTATCTCTCTCCTTTTTAATTTTTTGGAAGGATGAAATTGCTGGAATTAACCGTTGGTTGGAACCTGGTAATTCCAACATCAGGTGAGATTTCTCCCCAGGGAGAGAGCAGGAGTGGGGCTGAAGGATCCTGCGTGCCAAAGCAGCGGGCCAAGCGCCCAGCGCCAAAGCGAATGAGACCGCGTCTAGAGAGGCCAGCGGCGCAGCGGAGCCGGAGGCGGCAGAGGTTTCCCTCTGAAAGCCCGGGCTGCGAGAGGAAGGCGAGCGCACTCCACCCTGAGCCCCTCAGCCACCTCCTGTGGCTGCTGCCGAATAGCAGGGTGTTTCTGGGATTGCAGTCCAGAGGCGGCGGATTTGGAGTTGCCTCCCCCAAATCCCCCCAAGAAGCATCTTGGCACAAGTTGCAGCTAAAAATAGCCCAGGATAACACAGGGGGAGGGGAGGAGCGAGACGTGCGCAAGGCTAGGCAGGGACACGCTGGTTCTGCAAAGTGGGGGCGGAGAGGGAGGGACAGAGCCCCTTGTCCGAGAGAGGGTCCAGGGTGTGCGGGGAAGTGCAGGGGTCTTCCCGGCGGAGGGGCGCGATGCTAGCCCTAAAGCGCCTGCAAGTGACTGCGGAGCCAGGACACCCCGCACCTGGCGCTGAAGCCGCCTCTCCATCCCACCGTGCGCCGCCCTCCAGGTGCGGCTCTCTCGCGGGCGTCCGGCGAGTTCCCGGGACAGGCTGGAGCCAGAAGGGGGAGCAGCGCACGGTTTAGCGCTCGGCCGGGAGAGCGCACCTGGAGCCGACCCGCTCCGCGAGAAAGCGCGTCCTGAGCCGGGGTACGCTCTCTCCCCTGGCGTTCTGAGCCTCGTCACCCCTCACCCCACCGCCATCAGACGTCTCTACCCAGGGTGCCCCAAATAGAAGCCGAGACAAAAAAAAAATAGTAAAAAGTAACAAGAAACATATCAAGTCGCGCGCACCTGGGGTTCACCAGGAGGCTACTTCCTGTCCAGACCGTCGCCTCCGTCTCCCGCGTTAGGCGCACCTCTGGCCCTCGGGAGATGCCCCATCTCCCATTGACTCCTGACTAAGGAAAACGCAAACCAGGGGCTTTCCCTCCTCCGGCTCCTCGGCCCAGGGACTTGAGCCCAGGGCATTGGAACGCAGCCCCGGGCTGCAGGTGCAGCCGGCTCGGCGGAGCGCTGCACTCCCGCTGCCTCACACAGTCCCAGGAAGAAGCTGCGGGCGCCGAGCGGCGGGCAGGAGAGAACCTACGGCTGCTATAAGGAAAAAAAATCCTAACCCATTAAGATCCTGAAACCCCGATTCCTGCCCTTTTAGACCTGTCCCTCAGGACTTGAAGAACTGAGGTGCAAGGGCAAGAGGTGAGGAGCATGGGGAAACCCCGAATCTCTCCTGCCTTCCTCATCCCCCACCCCATCCCCTCCACCTGCTCCAGCTTGCACCCACCTTGGTCCCGGCACTTGTCCGGGCACCGGGTGCAGGCACGTCGGCATCCCCGGCTCCGCCGCTCCCCAGCCCGGCGGCCCCCGCCCCGCGCGCGCTGCACTCACCTGAGCCACGCCGCCGTCCAGCCCGTCGGGCGCCCTCAATCGGCTCTCAGGCTGGGCCATGGGCAGCACCGCCGAGCACCCGCGGCAGGTGGAGCGGATGTCCAGGCAGGCGAGCGCGCGGTGGAAGGGACGCAGGCACCCACGGAGACCCGGCAGTGGCGGCGGCTCGCGGTTGCCAGCGCGCCGGAGACCTTGCAGGCGGGCGTTTTGGTGCTCAGTCCTGAGGAGGGGAGGAGCAGGAGGAGGAGCAGGAGAAGGAGGAGGGGACGGAGGAAGCCGGGCCCGCAGGGAGAGCGGGCAGGGCAGAAGAGGATCGCGAGCGCCCACTGCTGCCCGGCCCGCTCCGCGGCCGCTCCGAGTCCCGCCCGCGACTCCGCGGCGCTCGCGGACTCCGGGCTCGGGCGGAGGGTGCTGGAGGAGTCGGTCCCGCCCACCTAGCGCGGGTGGCGGCGCTAGGGGAGGGGTCAGAGTGGCCAGCGGGCGGGGCTGGGCTGGATGACTCGGCCGTCGCTGCAAAGCTAGGACGGACAGCACCTACTCTTCGCTCAGGCTGCGTCCGAGCCGCGAGCGCACCTGTTTCCCACCTTCGAGCTGGTGGTGCGTTCTGACCTGCGCCGCTCCCCTACACGCTCGCGCCGCGAGTTTCCTTCCTAGCAGGTGACCTACCTTAGGCGGCGGTGCTCCGTGTGCCGCCCGGGAAGCAGGGGGAGCCGTCGGTCCTCTGAAACTGGCGCTGCACCCGGGTGGCCGCCTGGGCCAGGATCCTCGCTCTGACCCGGCTTGCGAGCGCGCGGTATTGGCATTGTACACGCCTTCACATTAGCTCTGGAGTTAGCGAGAGGATGCGGATTAACCCGGGAGCGGGGAGGATTCAGCCATGCACCAGCTCCTGCACCAGAATTGCCAAACGTCAGCCCTGAAACTAAGCGGGGTTTCCCTGCCCCGCCCCTGGGCGGTTTTCTGCGCGAACCCACACCGACATCCGGTAGTTCTCGTTAGATATAAGATTTCGCGGGCCACGAGGTTGCAGCCTCCTTGGAGAAACTCAGCACAGCTTACAGGAGCGAAGGCAGGTCCTCCCGTAGGGCAAGAGTACCCATCACTACCCACTTCCCCCGCAAGGCGCAAAAGCGCTTCAGAGAACTTCTTTAGATGAGATCGCAGAGGATCGGCCGTTTCTTAAATATTGAGAGATGTGAGTCGTATTTGGAAGGATTCGAATTTGTCATTTACCTTTGAAAAATAATATTCTCCCTCTTAGGGGGAGATAACCATAGTCAGTTGGCTCCTTAGTGCAAAGATTTTCATCAGCACTTTCAGAAAGACAAAAGCAATGCCCACACTTTATGATTGATAAAACCAGAGCATCCGAGAGGTGGATACCAAGCCTTGGTTTTGGAAAACAAGGTTTTAGGGATTTCAGTGACTCTGGCTACTTCTTTAAGTGAGATCAATGCCGACATGCCTATTTGAGTTTAAAAATACAAGTTTTAGTGGAGGGCCCGTTGTGCAGTTGCTGTGCCCTGGGTAGGGACAGCCACATCCCGTTTCCAGCACCTGCATTGGAGCGTCCATCCCATTCAGCTTCCTGCTAATGAACACCCTGGGAGGCAGCAGGTACTTTGGCTCCTGGGAAGCTCACGTACTTTGGTTCCTGCCGTCCATGTGAGAAACCTGGAGGGGGTTCCAGGATCCTGGTTTCAGCTTGGCCCAAGCTGGTTTGTGTGGGCAGTGGGCAGTTAGGACGTGAGCTAGCAGCTGGGAGATCTCTGTCTCTATTTCTGTCTGCCTTTGAATAAAATAAGGAAATAAATAAATCTTTAAAATCTGAATTATTAAAGATTTATTTATTTATTTATTTGAAAGGCAGAGTTACACAGAGGGAAAAGGAGAGGCAGAGAGAGAGAGAGAGAGAGAGAGTCTTCCATCAGCTGAGTCACTCCCCAATTGGCTGCAACAGCCAAAGCTAGGCCAATCCGAAGCCTGGAGCCAGGAGCTTCTGGATCTCCCACGCAGGTGCAGGGGCCCAAGGACTTGGGCCATCTTCTACTGCTTTCCCAGGCCATAGCAGAGAGCTGGATTGGAAGTGGAGCAGCTGGGATTTGAACCAGTACCCATATGGGATGCTGGCACTGCAGGCCGTGGCTTTACCTGCTATACCACAGTGCCAGCCCCCAAAATAAGAATTTTTAAAGGTCACTTTTAAGCTACACTTTAAAAATCCTTAGTGTTAAAACTGATCTTAGTTTTAAATGAAATTGCTTTTGTCTCCCCATTGTATGAAGGCGCCCAATATCAGGTATGAGGTTGTACAGGTGAGTGGAGTCTGGGCTAAAGCCCTGCCAATCATTGGTGCCCCTCAGTGTCCACCAGCAGCCAAGCACAGGGCAGCCAGAGAGTTCTTCAAAAGCAGGCAGCAGCCCTGATACTCTAAGTTGATAGGATTACTTTCTCTAAAGGGTTCAAGATGTTTTGCTGCCCATGGAATGAATTTTACGACTCACAGGTGAGACACAGAGGTCTCATTTGGCAATGGTTCTGTTTGAACCCTGGAAGCCAAAGGCAGATTAACTGACCTCAAGACCTTGAAAGAAACTAGAATCTTATCTGCAGGAAGTGAATCCAATTGCATCTGGCAAGTGACAAGAATTCAAGGGCTGACATTTTCTCTTTTTATCAATTTTTTTCAGCAAACGCTTATTCATCAATGATCAGTGATTTATTCAGATAAATGAAAGTAACAACTGTCCCTTTTGTTCTTTCAGCTTCGTGTCTCTGTCTGGGCACTGACCTGCTCTCCCAGATAGCTTATCTGTGGCCTTCTGGTCAGGACTTAGGCTTGCAAACAGGCCGCCATATGGCACCAGAACCTAGCTCTGCTATAATAAACATTGCTCTTAAAATGCCTGCTTAGGCATCTGTCTTCCCTACTGATTAACAGTGCCTTGAACACGGATTGAGCACTGTAAGTACCACTCCCCAGCACCTTGCTTGGTGTCTGAAACTTCCTGTGCTCTCAAAAAGAGTACACATTGAACTTCCCTCAAGGAATCACAGCTTAGGCCTGACAGGTTTCCATTTCAAAGCACTGTGTATAGGAATGGAGGTTCCTAGAGACACAGTGGTAGCCAAGTAGAAAGATGGCTGCCACTCATAGACATGTGGCCCAAGACTCTCTTTCTCAGTGTTATCAACTTGGAAATGGCAGGGTAATAGCAGTTGATCTGCATACTGCCAATATTCCAAGATATCGGTTTTTATTAGCACCTAGTATATAATCAACACTATGCCAGACGCTACGGGAGAAATGGCAAAGTAAGGCATCACAGTTGTCTCAAGGGAGCATAGACTCTTATCTCAAGCAGAAACATGGCAAACACCCACGGACCACCTTTACGGAAACTCACTGACATCAGTTAGGTCATGAACTGTGTTCTGTAGAAGGTAAAGGGTCAAGGAATGAAATGGAAAGCAAAGCTAAGCTACTGACCTGTGATTTTGATCAATAATCACGAATAATTACCAGCCAAGACCGATGTAGGGCTTATATGCCAGGTCCTGTGCACGATGAATTGCGTAAGTAGCACCTCCTGTTCTTCAACTGACCTTCTTAGACTTGGAGCTTCCTGTTGTACAAGTGGGAAAACAGGTTTACAGAAGTGACTTGTTCAGGTGGCATAGTAATATGTGATAAGACTGACGTTCAAGTCTTACGTCTTGCTGGCTCTAAAGCAGATGTTTTTAAACAGTCTTGGAAATCATTAATCCAGACTTCCTCATTTTATGACTGAGGGAGTTCATCAGAGCACAGAGGAGGAGCTGATTTATCTGTGGCACTCCCCTTCCTCTTAAAATTAGACTCCTAGGGGCTCCTGGGGCTGAGTATTTAACCTAGCAGTTAGGATCCCCATTAAGATGTCCACATCCCAGTCAAATTGTCTGGGCTTGAGTCCTGACTCCACTCCTGATTCCAGTTTGCTACTAATGTTCACTCCTGGGAATCAGCAGTTGTGGCTTGGGTAGTTGGGTCTCTGTCACCTGTATGGGAGACTCAAATTGGTTGTGGGTATTTGGGAAGTGAATTAGTGAATGGGAGACTTCTCTCTCTCTCTCTCTCTCTCTCTCTCTCTCTCTCTCTGTGTGTGTGTGTACCAAATATATAAAAAATTTTTAAATATGTAAAAAATAAAAGTTTGCACTGGCATTGTGGCATGAAGAGTTAACACACTGCCTGTGACTCCACCATTCCATGGGAGCACCTATTCCAGTCCCAGCTGCTCCACTTTTGACCCAAATCCCTGTTAATGTTCCTGGGAAAGCAGTGGAAGATGGCTTAACTGCCTGGGATCCTGCCACCCACATGGAAGACCTGTGGCCCGGCCCTGGCTATTGTAGCCATTTTGGGAATGAACCCAGCGGAAGGGAGATCTATCTCTTTATCTCTCCCCCTCTCTCTGTAACTCTTTCAAATGAATAAATAAGATTATTTTTAAAAAGGTAGACACCTAGTCTAGTGGTTGTTGTATTTGAATGGATTGTTGATGCTTACTGTTGTTGCTTTTGGTTATTCCCTTTCTCCCTAATAGGTGATGAGAGTGTGGAGGTCAGGAGAAGGGTCAAGTAGAAGAGAGAGAAAGAGAAACCACTTCTTCTGAATAATGTCCAGGATCCACACTCACTCTACCTGCCTGGACACAAGAGAATTTTACCTGTAGCCCCTGTCTATTGGGCTGCGCTATCTCATCTCTTCTCCCATACTGGCTGTTTAAATGTTTCAGGTTAATAGCACGGATATTAAGGAGTCCAATGGGATTCTTTATAAGCAGAGGAAATTGGGATCAGGTTAAAAATCCAATTTTAATAAACTTTCCAAGTCCTGATTTAGATGTTGCTCTAATGGCTCTTACTGCTGAATCACCTTTAAAATCAAATGCATTCTTAAAAGGTCCTTGTTGCGTGGAAAGCTTGATGGGTTTTGTTTGGTTGTACATTGTGCATTCCCATCTTCCTAGGAATAGATCATCTGACACCAAAGAGAGCTGGTAGGAAACACTGCAATCCACAGAGCCGGCTGGGCAGAGAGGGAGGCACTGGGTTTGAAAGATGATTTTCGCTCATTTGACCAAAACAAAGACAGAATGATTGTACTGCATAAAAATGGTCTCCTCAAATAGCTCCACTAATTTGATTGTGCTGAGGTCTAGAATTGTTTCTATTTCTTTTGATTTCCTAATTAGCCCGAGCAGCCTGCTTGTGAGAGAGGAAATGAGGGTCACATCCACAAATGTGGAGGATTGTGGGTCCTTCCACCTCGGCTAACCCATCACACGTCTCCGCTGCCAGCCTGGCCCAACTCCCAATTTATCTGGATGAGGGGGCTTTAAAAAGTTCATGTTAAATTGAATTAAAAGGTAAGTTTATTTGAATATAAAAGATTTTTAAGATCCATGCATGATTTTTTCATAATACATATTTTTCACAAATGTTTTGAAAACTCCTTGTTTGTCCATTCAATTCACTGATCATGATTAAATGATTATTTTGTGTTTATTCTGAAACAACATTTTTTTTTAAGATTCATTTATCTGAAAGGCAGAGTTACAGACAGAAAGGAAAAAACAGAGACAAACAGACAGAAAGATCTATCCACTGGGCAGGGTTGAGTTAAGCTGAAGTCGAACATCACCCAGGTCCCAAGCACAGACCACATTCTGCTACTTTCTCAGGCACATTAGCAGGGAGCTAGATTAGAAGTGGAGCAGCCAGGATTGGCTACAATGCAGACGGCAGCTTCACCTACTGCAGTACAATGCTGGCCCCATGAAAACAAGATTTTGAGAGCCTTTATGACACCCGATTTACTCTTGGCATATGTGCTTACAGGTTTGAGTTC